ACAGTCACTGTGTCGTCTGGGGCAACTGCGAGGAAATACAGTGCTGAGGAGCTCCGTCTGGAGAATGAGAGAGGACTGGTTTTGAATCCAGCTCTGCCACTGTTTAGCCGTGCGACTTCGATTAGATTCTTCTGTAACCCTCAGTCCGCTCGTCTGTCATGGGGGAGAGCCTGGTACTTCCCTCACGGCGCTGCTGTGATGGAAGCAGTCAATGCTTGTTGAGAATTTATGCGGTTCCTGGCACATATGAAGCATGAAATGCTTTTCTTCCATATTATTGGATTCATATTTCTTTCTCACATAGTTATGGCAAAATATTTTCTGGGCAACTGCTCTATCTGTGCCTGGTGTTCCACATAGTCATGCCAACTATTTAATTTGGTAAATTTGGGTGCCTGCTTGTCTTCACAATAACCTGGAAAGGAGCCACCATTTCCATTTTACAGTGGAGGAAACTGAGACTTAAAGAGAGTGGATAACTTTCCAGGGTCTCACAGCCAGTAAGTGGCAGAATCTGGGTTCTAGCCCAGGTCTTCAGGGTACACGTTTCTTAATAAATTTCGTTAGTCCCGTGCACACCAGACTGCCAGGACCCAGTTCTCAGAATTGCATGCGTTTGCCATCCAACACTGGACAACTTAGTTAACTTCTTTGAGCCCTGTTTTCCTCATCTGTAAATTGGAATAATAATAGTACTTACCTTATAGGGTTCTCATAAAGATTTAAATGCTTAAAACAGTATCTGGCTAAAAGTCAGCATAGAAGTTGTGGAAACGTGAAAGAGATGCAGACCAACTTTCCAAGTTGGCTGGTGAGGAATGGAACGAAAGGCTTCTGAAAGAAATGAGCCTCGAGCTGAGTCTTAAAAAACAAGAGCAAAGGAAAGGCATTTCGGGCAGTAGGACGATGAGACCTATAAAGGTGTGGAGGCAGGAGAGAACGTGGTATTTTCAGAGTTCTCGGGAATGTGGATGTAAGGGCCACTTTACATGAGAAGGTTTTGGTCTGAAACTGAGCAAGGACATATGGACGAATGGCTATTGCTCGTCAAAGAATCTTGCTTAACAAGTTTCTTTTTACCAGACTGATTTCCATGATGGCAGGGATGGGTACTTATTTATTTTTTAATCCCCAGTTTCTGCTGTACTGCTTGGCTTATAGTAGGCGCCCAAATTTACTAAATTAAATATTTGATATGACTGAAGTTTAGGGTGTATATGAGGACATGGATACTGATGGATATGCATTTTAGTGACTTTGAGTCATTATTTAGGCAGAGAAAAAACTATTTGAATGTCTACTTTCAATTGAAAAATTAATATTTTATTAAAGGTCCTAATATAAAAATTTAGTCTCTCTTGAGCATTTAAGTTTGGTCTATAAATCTTATTCTAAATAAGATTGTTAGATTATTCTGTATGAGATTATTCTAAATAAGATTATTTTATTCTAAACCTTATTCTAGGTCTGGCAATTTTCATAGGAACTTAATGTTTTTATTATTTACAAACTTAAACTCATTTAATTATAAACTTAATATATCCATTTCTTTAGGTACTTCAATTGTCTTAACAAACCTTCCCACCTTCTTAAATAATTCTTATAAATATCATAAGTCAAACTTATAAATATGAGTTCTCTTAAATGTCTCTAAACTCTTTATGAACTAAGATTTTGACTTAAAATCACAACCATAATCAATGTCATCTTTTAAATGAGAATGACAAATCTGACCTGTTACTCTAATAGACCAAATTCTCTTCGATGTGGAAATGCATGAAATACCAAATATTCACAGTAATTCCAGTTATTTATGCTCTTAAACATTCCCTACCTCCCCTGCATTGTAACATTGAGGAAGCACCTGTACTATCTTATACAAATTTGAAGTTCCCTTCTCTTGTATTTTTTAGAGTTGTCTTCTCAGCTTGCTGAGATTTAATAATGACCAGAGGACGCTGACTGGGCTCCAGGGGCTCTCTGGGAATCTGGACTTGGTTTCCAGGAGGTGACTCTCCTGAGTTTCCTTCTTCCTCTCTGGCCCCTCCGCTTCGTTTCTTTTGGCTGGTTCCTTCACACCTTCCCAGTTTCGATGTTGGGCCCCCTCTCCATTTGCATTCTCTGCCTTGATCTCACCTGTTATCATCTATGTGCTGATGACTCCCAAATTTCTATCTCTAGTCTACCCTCTCCCTGAATTTATTTACCCAGCTGTCTACTCAATATTCTTACTTGAATGCCTCACAGACCTCTTCAACTGTATTCAAAACTGTGTTTTTTCTTCCAAAAAAAAATCTTCCAGCCTCCCCCCATCTCAGTTAACGGTACTTCCATTTCTGGTTGCCCAGTCAAAAACCTTAGTGTCATCCCTGATTTCATGTTGGCTCATCAGCAAATGTCGTTGGCTCTGCCCTTGAGATCATCCTGAACTGTCCTCCTTCATACTACTTCCATCACTCCTATGCTGATCCGAGCTGCCATTATCTCTTTCCTGCATTATTCCAATGGCCTCCTAACTAGGCTCCCTTCCTCGCCCCTGTCCATACAAGCTATTCTCAACCTAGTGATTTATTAACATGTAAATCAGATTAGCACCCTCCAGGCTCCCATCTTACTCTAAGAAAAAGCCCAAGTCTTTTCAGTGATCTGTAAAGCCCACCACAATTCCACCCCCCACGTTTCGACCACATCTGCTGCTCTCCACTTTGTTCTCTCTGTACTAACTACATTGCCCTGTTGCTCCTCCTGCAGTTCATCCAGCAGGTCCCTAGCTCAGGACCTCCGTTCTTCCTGTTTTGTCTGCCTGGACTGCGCTCTCCCCAGATGTGCGGCTCATTCTCACATTCTTCAGGTCTCTAGTCTAAATCACTGCAGGAGGCTTTCCCCGAACACTTATTTAAATCGTAGCCACCACCCTCCACTCTCTTTCCTGCCCTTCGTTTCTGGTTGACCTTCTTTCCTTAGTACTTTACCTTCTCCTTATATTTATTTCACTTGTTAATCTTGTTTATTTTCTCTGCCCACTAAAATATTACTTCCATGAGACCAAGGGTTTTAATCTGTTTTATTCACTGTTGTATCTTCAGAATTCAAAATAGTGCTCAAAACTATGTGTTGAATGTGTGGCTAAAAGAATATAGTTGGAACTTTATAGCTTAATGAATTGAACAAGTAGCCCACACAACTTAGATGTGAATTGTGTCATTACCTAGTTCTTTGTCTTCACATAGATTTTTGTAACCACCCACATGATAGAATTATTTTATTCCATTTTGCAATACTTTAACTCTTTTGTAAAAAAAAAAAAAAAAAAACTGTAGATATTTTTTACCTTTATAGTTTTGTATTATTTTCATGGATCTTTTTTCATGACATTCCTTGGAAATACGACTTTCGTAGGTTTTAAATCGTGTACCGTTAAATTCAGGACCTCTCAAAGCTTTCCTCAGCCATTTGGTCACAACTCGGAACTGGATGAAAATGGAGCAATCAGGAGCTAGATTATGAAGGATGTCATATCTATCCGAAAGAAATAGGATGCTACTGAAGGCTTTCAAACATAGTGACATGGTCAAATTTGCACATTAGGAAAGGTTACTCTGGAGGTGAGCTGGGAAATGGATTGGACAGATGAAGCTACAAGCAGGAAGACCAGTTAGGAGTCTCGGACAACACTCTAAGGGAAAGGTGAAGAGAGCCTGCACCATTGGTTCCAAATTTTATATTCTCAGCTCCGACCTTTCTCTTGAACTCCAGGCCCATATGTTTATCTGCCCATTTGAACCTTTACTTGGAGGCCTAATGGGCATCTCAAATCAACATGTTCAAAATAGGGTGCTTGCTTTCCCTGCTAATCTGCTCCTCTCCTAGTCTTCCCCATTTCGATTAAATCCGCCATCCATCAAGTTGTTCTCAGGAAAATTAGGAGTCATTTTGTTTTCTCCCTTCCCATCATTTGCCCCCACAAATCTATACACATCAAACCCTCTGCCAAATTAGGCCGGCATATCTTCCAAACACGGCCCGCTTCTTCCTGCTGCCTCGTTCCAGCCACTGTCACCTCTGGACCACTCCAGCGCTGTCCTGACTCACCGGTCTTCCCGTCCTTGCCTCCTCTCACCCTGCAACAGTCTGTTCTCCAAAAAGCAGCTGAAGTCATGATCTTAAAACAGAGTCCCATGATCCCCTGCTCTTAGCCTCCACTGGCTTTTCCTCACACTTAAAATAAAACCAAAGTTCTTGCCCACCTAGCTGATCTCACCTCAGAGCACTCTTCCCAACCTCGTCCTAAGGTTCCTTTCCATTCCCGAAACACACCGAGGCCACGCCTGCCTTTTTTCAGCCATCCCTTCCATCTGGAACTCTCCCCCTAGCTCTTAGCTTCCAACTCCTTTGCGTTATTCAAGTATCAGTTCCAATGTCACTTCATTAGAAAGGCCTTCTGTGACTTTACAAGCTAAAGATTCTCTTTCCTATACCACCCTGTTTTATTTTCTTCCTAGCAGTGACCACAAACCGAAGGCGTCTTTAAGAATCTGTTAACTTATTTATTGTCTGTCTCTCCCCTTGGAATGAGAGTTCCATGAGAGTGTGGTTTGGTCTGCCGGGGTCCAAAGGTGCACTGCAGTATCCCCAGAGCCGTGGTCGTGGTGTCTGGCACACAGTAGATGCTCAGCAAGTCTGTAACCAGTGGTGGAGAACGGAGTAGACCTCAGTTAAAGCAGCGACCTTGGAGAGAGGGAGGAAGAGACTGATAGGAGACACTTTGCATTGCTGGGCGGGGCTGTGAACTCCACAAGAGCAGGATTCAGTTCACTGGTGGCTCCCAAGCACTGCCTGACCCATAAGTGACTAAATATTTATTCCACGAACGAATAAAATTAGTGCGTTCCAGGGAAGATAAGCAAAGGGGGAATCAGAGAGGACCTCAGGTTTCTGGCTTCGGCTGGCTACTCAGGTGTGAGCAGAGGAGCCGGAATCGAAACATCGGTCTGTCTCACTGCATCTTCTTTCTGTGCACTGCCTAGATGGCTGATTCCGACCCTGGGGAAAGAAACTATGACAACATACTGAAAATGCTGTCGGACCTGAATAAAGACTTGGAAAAGCTATTGGAAGAGATGGAGAAAATCTCAGGTAGGCTGTTTTCCCAGGCAAGGTGCCTTCCCCCTTCTTTCCAATAGCTCACATTCTCCCTATACTTCTGAGCACAAATCAAGTGCCTTCTTCACAAAGCCTTCCCTGACCACTCCTCAACTTCTATACCATGTAACTATTGTGAGTGTCAATATTCGGTGACACTTACCACTGAATATAGCCTTGAATTGTTTTCTGATTACTTTATGTGTGTTTGTATCTTATTTCTACAACTGGACTATTACCTTCCTGAGAGCAAAAATAGTGACTGTGTCTTTTGTAACTGGGCACAGTACCAGACCCAAGCTCAAGTACTCAGCAAGTGACAAATGATGTTAACCTAACACCTGTGAACAGAACTGGAACATTCTCTCTCTGAGTCATTTAAGTGAAAAAGAGTTCAGAGTAATAGTGCTGAGACTGGCTAGGTTCTGAAATGGGAGGTACAGCTCAGTGGAATAAAGCAGAGATAGAGTTGAACAAATTTCTCCATTTTTGGAAAAGAATCTTAGTCTTTTATTTTGTTTTACATGTTTCCACTAAGTGGTAACCAGTAATGGTAGTGATACCATTATAATTTCTTTAATATGTTCTTTATTAATTCAGAATATGTACAATTCTTATAATAGGTAAGCCTAAGTTTTGCTAGAAAAAATCATAATGTAAAACAAACTTGAGAAAGCACACATACTCTACTCAAATGAAAACAGACTATTTTTAAAGACATTATTCGTTTGCAAATAATCACCATTTATTACAACAGGCTTTAGAAAATTTATATTTAGAAATGTTTGCAATATTTTGGCCTGCATACTTGAAAGTTTTATATGTATATATACCTATTTTTAACTACCTTTTAAAAAAATTCTATAATTCATTTTCTACTATAAGCTGTATAATTCCATCAGTCTAGTTAAATATTCTCTTATTTAACGGCATTTACTAAGCACCTACTACGTGCTATTCTAGGAGTATAAAGTTGAATAGAAATGCTCCTTCATTAAATAAGTAGGTGGAAGCTGAAACAGACAGAGATGACTTTATAACTTAAATATATGAATTAAAGTTAAAACACATTTTAATGTTATATTAAAATGGTAATCTGGCAAATGGCAATGACAGTGTACACCGAGTACTAGGAAGGAACCAGAGATGGAGGAGCAGCTGACCGAGTATTAGGATGGAATAGAGACCAGACAGATGAGGTAGGGGTCCTGGGGGTCGGAGGCAGGGCAATCCCACAGAAGAGGAAGTCGAGGCCATGTGAGCATGAGGGAAAGCCTGGCAAATTCAAGAAGCCAGGTTAGTGCATGGGATTCACAAGGTGGCAGGCCACAGAAAGAAGAGGCTAAAAGACGAGAAGGGTCTCCAATGCCAGGCTAAGGAGTTTTACTTTTCTTGTGTAGGTGAGAGGGAGCCCTGTGGGATTTCAAGGAAGATGCATGTGTTTTAGAAAGATACCTCTGGTAACGGTGTGAGGGATGGTTTGGAGAGGGAAGACTGAAGGCGGGAAGACCAAGGAGGTTGGGGGGATGGGTGAAAAAAATGAGGGGATTAAGGAGTACAAACTGGCAGTTACAAAGTGTCACGGATGTACAGTACAGCATAGGGAATGTAGTCAATAACATTACAATAACTATGTGTGCTGTCAGGTGGCTACTAGCCTTGGGGGGATCGTTTTATAAGTTATATAAATGTCTAACCACCACGGTGTCCACCTGAAACTAATATAATATTGAATATCAACTGTAAAAAAAATAAAATAATTTTAAAGAAACACATCTGGAACAAGAGCTACAGTTGGGGTCACCACCTGACTGCGTTTATGATAATCCACGGTCGTTCTCCAGGATCTGTCTTCTGCACAGCCCAGATGGCAAGTTGAATTGGAATGTGGTGGGAATTATCCCCTGCATCTTTCAAGTCCTCAGTGGCAGTACTGATCTCTGCAGTCCTCCCAGGAGTTCAGTGTTGCGCTTGGTGTCCCACTTTCTTTCATAGGTAGAGCCAGTTCTAGTGGTTTCCACTTGGCCTTTCCCACCATAATGGCCCTTACTCCATGGATCACGGAACAAATGTAGGTATTCTCCCAATTGCTAGAGTATATAGAGTATATTCTAGAGTATATAGAGTAATAGAGTATATCTATATCAATTACGCATGCTGGAAATGGGGAAATTACTACAAAGTGGACTCAGAGACCCACCGGGCCCACTGTGAGACAGACCTGAGCTAAAACTCAATGCATTGATAACCTGACCTCCATAAGCTCCTATTATGACCAGTAGATCACTACACTTATTGGAAATGATATTTTGGGTCTCCAGGAAGTAGTGTCAGTTCAGAGCCAGTGTTCAGCAATCCCAAAAAGGTCTGATTATTTCCCTTTCTCCAATGTATAGTCCTTCAGCAGTACTTTTGTGGGGTCCCTATTCCTGAAGCTGACTGTCATGTAAGGAGGAAAATAAATGAGTAATTACAATAGATTTTGATGAGTGTTAAGACTGAATAATCTATGTTATGCTATATGATAGCCAAAAAGGGAGCCTGATTTAATATAAGGAGCCAAGGAAGGCCTCCTAGAGTAAATGACTTCTCAGCTGAGACTAAAATATGAACATGAACGAAAGAAGGAAGTGGAAAAGGGAAGACGTGAGAGTTTGGTAATACAGAAAGAGGAGCAGGTTTTGGAAGGAGGTGGGAAAAAAGCGAGTTCAGTTATGGACATTCTGAGTTGGAAGTACCAGTTTTACAGAGGTGGTGATATTCTATATACTGTCGAAAATATAATCACAGAGCTACAGAGCTCAGTGTAAATTAGTACAGCCATTATGGAAAATAGTATGAAGGTTCTTCAAAAAAATTAAAAATAGAACTACCATATGATCTGCAATTCGACTTCTTGGTATATATCCAGGAGATGCAGATATCAAAGAGGTATCTGCACTCCCATGTTCACTGAAGCATTATTCACTATAGCCAAGATATGGAAACAACCTAAGTGTCCATTGATGGATAAGTGGATGAAGAACATGTGTTATAATTATACAATGGAGTATTATTCATCCTTAAAAAAGAATGAAATCCTGCCATTTGTGACAACATGGATGAATCTGGAGGACACTTCGTTAAGTGAAATAAGCCAAGCACAGAAAGACAAATATCTATGATATCACTTATATGTGGAATCTAAAAAACATCAAACTTATAGAAGCAGAAAGTAAATGGGTATTTGCTGGAGCTGGGGAGTGGGGGAAATAGGAAGATGCTGGTCAAAGAATGTGAAATTTCAGTTATGCAAGATGAATGAGTTCTGGAGATTAAATGTGTACTGAATGGTGAGTATAGTTAATACTGCATTGTATTCTGGAAATTTACTAAGAAGGGTGATCTTAAGTGTCCTCACCACACACACACAAATGATAACTGTGAGGTGCTGGAAATGTTAATTAGCTTGATTGTGGTGATTATTTTGCAGTGCATGCATATACCAAAACATCACATTGTACACCTTAAATATTTTTTAATTTTTATTTGTCAATTATACTTTAATAAACCTGGAAAAATATAATCCCAGAATTCAAAGAAACATCTAGACTTGGGGTGGGCGGTGTTAAATTTCCATTCATTCATTCATTCATTCATTCAATGACTACTCTTTGAATGACCACCTGCCAAGCCCAGCACTCAAGTTGCTTATAAGCTAATGGGGAAATAAATGTGCAAACACAAAAATTCAATACACTGTGTTAATTGCTATAATAAAAAAATATTAAAATTTCAATGAGATTTCAGATGGATTTCAAGGAACCATGGAGCATTTTTCTGAAATATTGTTAGGAGCTTTCCAGACAGACAGGTGATAGGGAAGACTTTCCGAAAGGAAGAACAATTTGTGCCAAGGAACAAAGATGTAAGAAAACTGGTTGGACTTAGGGTTCAAATACTGTGTAATAAGCAGAAATGGTAGAGAATAAATCTAAATCAATCAAAGAAATTGGGCACCACACCACGAAGTCATTCTGTAGTCAACAGGGAAATAATTGAAAAAAGTTAAGCAGGGGATGACATGAAGAGATATGTGTTTTAGAAAGATTATGTAGCAATGTGGAGGAGATTGGAAGCTCAGTGCTGACCTCACAAATAAATATTACGAAATACATGAGATGATAAGCCACTGTGAGTGAATGTTTGCAGAAATAAAAATCGACATCTTAAGATCTCAAAGGATAGTAGATTATGTCCAATACAGAGTGTAAATAGCTAAGTAATGAATGCAGTTACAAAGATGAACATAAAAGAAACTCAGGAATGAACAGATTTGAAAAAACAAATGGAGCTTCTGAAAGGGAAAAGTATAATTGTGAGATAAAAGATAAAATTGACAACAGTTGAAAATATAATTAATCAATTAGAGAATAATGCATCAGAAAGAGATTTCTTTATCAGAAATTGAACATATGAAGAGATTAAGAGACTTGTAATATAGGTCAAGAAGGTCTAACATGTATCTAATTGGAATCTCAGGGAAAAAAGAGACTATGGAACAATGGCAGTATCTAATAGTATAATGTCTGTGAATTTTCCAGAACTGATGAAAAGTTGAATTACAAATCTAAGAAACAAAATAAAATGATATCTATACCTAAACACATAATAATGAAACTTCAGAACACCAAAGACAAACTGCAGGGAGCCAGAGAGAGAGAGAGCATACAAAGGAATGATAATTTGAATGAATTTTCAGCAACAATCACGGGAACCAAGAGTTAGTGGAAAAATATCTAAATGTCATAAAAACACTACTGACCCAGAATTATGTGTCCAGCAAAATTACCTTTCAATAATGCGGGCAAAATAAAGACATTTGTAAATGAAAAAAAAATCTAACTATTTCTTACAAAGAGCCCTGCTCTAAAGGAGGTACTAAAAGTTGAACTTCAAGTAAAAAGAATATCATCCAAGATGGAAGATCTGAAACGCACAAGTCAATGGAAAAC